GTATCTTTGCTTATTATTTCTAACTCCAGTTTTTCTTTGTTTTACAGATTCTGGCTAGACACGAATTGCTGCACCACTTTTAATTTGTATAGAAGAATCAGGGTTGTAGAGAAATGTAATTGCCTGAGCAATTGATTGTGATTTGGATGCTCTATATCTTTTAGCAAATATTTCAAATGCTTTTCTTAATTGTGGTCCACAGTTTTTATAATCGTCACTAATTTCTTCTAAAAATTTATCAAATGATGAATTATCAACATTATTGGTCTCTATTTCATTTTCTTCAAATTCACTAAATTTTAATTATAATAACAATATTAGTATGTATTTATTAAGAATATAATAATTTAAACTAAACAAACCTATCTGTTTGATTATTTATTTGTTCATCTGTTTGTTCATTTATTTATTTGTTTGTTTGTTTATTTATTTGTTTGTCTATTTGACTATTATTCTGTTCATCTGCTTGACTATTTTTTTGCACGGCTTTAGTATGTAAGAATGCGTAGAAAGAACAATTTTTTGAATTAACACCTTAAAAATTATAAATATTATTAGCGAATAAATAAATTTATACTTTAATAAGTATATAAATTATATAAAAAATAATTACATACTACTTGCAACAAATGCAAAAATCATATGATCCTCAGCCGTTAGTGAAGATAAAAAATTAATTAATATAATACTTCATTGCAATAGCACCTTGGTGCTTGCATAGTACACCTGTCATACCAATAGAGTAACTACATGTTCCAATATCACTATTTATGTTATAAACAACTCCTAAATTACTTTTACTTGGAACCAAGAATTCATTTGCATTTGGTAGCCATTGAATAGAGTCTCTATCTATAGTGTCCCAACCTGGACATAAAAATCTTTTTGCAATCTCTATATGCCCAGGATGTCGATTTGCAAATCCATAAAGATGGCATTGATAAAATCTTTCCATATTTTTTGTAATAAAATAAAAAACTTAAACAGAATTATATGCTTTGGTTCTGGTGAAAATAATATCCTTAAGCAAACCAAAACCATGCTCTACATAATTATTTGTGTGGTTGCCACGTATTAATAAATTTACACGAAAGCAATGAGCCCAATACTGAGGACGATTCCAAAGTATCTCGTAATGCTTTTCAAGTAATGGATATATTTGATAATAAGTGCTTTTTAATTCTTGATAAAAATTAGTCATTTCAATTTCTGTTTGTGCATCACAATTTTTTTCATTTGACTCATTATATTTATTTGATCTTCTTTATTAATACCGTGTTTCAAATTATAAAGCCAGCGCCAGAATACTTGTAATATATGAAACGTGCATAAAAGTCTGTTTGATTGTGGCCAACAAAGTTTTAATGCTTTTCTTTCTGCCGCGGAGTTATCAGTTAAAAAATTTTGTGGTTTTATATCACATCCTTGATCAAAAAATGCATATTCTGGAAGAATTAATTTCAGAAGATTAATTGCTTTTTCAATTGTAATTCCGAGTTAATCAGATGTAATAAATACACCTAATGGTAATACGCCTGCTATACAGCTTGTATACAAGAGTGTTATAGACATATTTAAAGATTCAAATTATGCAGAAGTATCCATAGTAGCAAATTTCACCAGCTTTACAAACTTCTTTATTCACTCGACTTATTAGTCCTGTAACAATACATAATATAAATGCTTTTCCAGTTCTTGAGTCAAATTCTTGAAGAATCGCTTTGCCTTGACCAGATAAATTGTAATTTAAAACCTCTTCAGATAAGTGTTGAAACATTGAAACTCCATTTTGTCCACCAAGCTAGGAATTACAATATTGTTCATAAAGATGCAAAACATAAGTGTAATCTGGATTAACTGAGCGATCTGCAAGAAATTCTATAAGATTTTCATTTGATAAAGCTAAAACATGAAGCTCATCTTCATGATTATATATGGCAGATGCAGGTGAGTGTCTATTTTGAAACATTTGAATAAACTTATCACGTATATCCTCATTTACATGTCTGAAGCTAAGTGACTCAGCTAAATTAACAATATGGTTGTGTTTAAAACAAACATTCACTTCTAAAGGATGACTAGTAGATAGACGCCAACATTCCGATCGCAAATGCAAGGTTGCTAAGCAACCTGTATTTCTGTTACGTGCTGATTCTGAATGCTTTAATTTAGGATCACCTTGTTTTTCTCTAACCTTCTAGCTATGTATACAGTGATGTAATTCTCGAAGAATAAACCGTTTACCCTTAATTTTATAACCTTTTGATTGTAGCATTGTTGATTTAGACTGTTTTTCAAATGCAGAAAACTATATTTGTGTATCTTCTGGGGTTGAAACATTAACCAATACATCAGCTTCAAACTGTCATATTTCAAAACCCTCATTAGTGTAATATAATGGTAAGTTTATAATGCATCGAATAATATAGCTATAATTTGGAGGGAAAATAGCTTTTAAAAAATTTGGCAGAGAATCCCAAGAAATTATCTAAAAAAAGAATAATAATAAAAATTATTATTATTATTATTTTAAAGCAAAAAAGCTTTTATATTTATTTTAAAATTTAATTACCTCACAAGAATCTTCATTCATATTAATATTTTGAATTGCTTCATTTTCGTTCATATTAATATTTTGAATTGCTTCATCCTTGCCCATATTAATAGAATTAGTAATACTTTGAATTGCTACATCTTCACTTATATTTACAGAATTCATTCTATTTATCTTCATAAAGGTTCGTAATGATTTGAATTGCTTTATAAGAACCGAAATCAGATTCAATATAGTCGTTCTTAGCAAACTATAAATAAAAAATACAAAGTTAAGTAAATTATAACTAGTAATAAAACCAGGTAAAGTACAACTTTAACTCACCCTATTGATTTCCTTATCTATTTGCATTACTTCATTTACGAATGTATTGTCAATATGATTCGTGAATATATTATCAATATGACTCATGAATGTATTATCAATATGACTTGTAAATGTATTATCAATATTACTTGTGAATATGTTATCAATATAACTCATGAATATATTGTCAATATGGCTTGTGAATGTGTTTTTTGTATAACTTGTAGGCATATTTTTCATATAGTTTGTAAATATATCTTCCATTATATAATTTGTGAATATATTCTCATTTGTATTATTTCCAAATGTGAAGGCTATACTTAAATGCAAAAGTCTAATTTCAGATGCTACAGTATTAAGTAATACAAATTTTATGTAAGTAATCGTTCCTACTAACAATCTTCTTAATCTATAAATTACTTACGTATGTAAATTTGGCACTTGAGTTTCTTATTAATTATACTCTAGACCTTATTAAAAAATCACCCTCATACAACAACCAAAAAGAATTTGCAGAGTTTGTTCTTTATTTAGTCCTAATTTTTTGGCCAATAATTCATCACTCAGATTATTGTCTTCCTGAAGTTTCACCTCACACTTTAGTAGTATGATCCTTTTTGTCTTACATCTAATGATACTATCATAAAGAATGAATGTCTCTGTAAGAGTTGCTTTTAGCTGATAATAACGATTATTAAGATAAATAGATAAAGTTTTTTAATTATATATACAATTAAATATATAATTATAATAATAAATAAGCATTTAAAATTTTTAATTAGATATACGATTGTTATGATAAATAAAAAATATTTAAAGTTTTTTAATTACAATTATTATAGTAAATAATTGAAGTTTTAAGTAATTTTAAGTAAATAATTGAAGTTTTAAGTAATTTTTAGTAAATAATTGAAGTTTTAATTACCTTATAAAATTTTTATCGAACTCTTTTTTTATTCTGTTTAAAATGTTTAGGTTCCTTTTGATATTTATTTTGTTATTAGCTAGTTCTTGATTTGCTATTTTTTATCGTTTTTATAAAATTTACTTTCAATTTCCTTTATTATTATGGACCCCTACTTGATTTATTTTTTCACCATGTTTCACCTTCAAATTTCTACCCATATCTACCCACATATATGAAATAATATGATGATTCTTACTAATACTGCTTTTTTTAAGATAAAACCTTGTAGATCGAATTTACTATTTATTATTTTCTCTATGCAGCATTACATCATTTATCTGTCAAATAGACTTTAAATTACTCTGAAACGTTAAATTAGTTTGTCATTTTTTAATCTCTGATATGTATTATCATTACACATAATTGAAAACATATTGTTACACTAAGAATGGCAGGGTGCGTTGCTGAGGCATAGAACACTATCGAGTTCTAAAATATGTGGTGCAGCAATTCGTGTCTAGCCAGAATCTGTAAAACAAAGAAAAACTGGAGTTAGAAATAATAAGCAAAGATAC